AGTACCGTCATTTATAGAGCCGCATATAATTACGCGCTTCATGTGCTGAATGCTTGAGTGGGAGACGTTTCTCACGTACTCAGTTCTACAGCACTTGCTCGACAATGCATCGGAACGCCGTGTATGGGCATGATGAATGGGCCAAGCACAAGTCCTGCTGGCGCCACGGGCGCCATCTTAAGACCATATTTGCTTCCCGACCAATCGTTGCGACAGGTCCACCTGTGGCTTTCTGCACTCTGATTGCAGTGTTCGTGGTGATTTTCAATCACTCAGTGTTGGTGGGTCATTTCCCTGTCTGGGTGCCGGTGATTCAAGTGGCATCAATCCCTTTCGCCCTCACCTCTTCGGTTCTATCACTTCTCCTCGTGTTCCGCACGAACAGTTCCTACAACAGGTTCGATGAAGCTAGAAAGGCATGGGGATCCAATGTCAATAGAACCAGGGACTTAGCTAGGCAGGCTCTCACATGGATCCGGAGCCCTGCGGACTTGCCAAAGTTGCACTGTCTTTTGCGGCACATTAAAGCATATTCTTATTGTCTAAAAGACCACCTGACGCAAGACAACACTCTCCGAGAAGAGCTTGCAAAAGTACTGGAGCCAACTGAGCTTGAACTCGTTCTCAGCTCGAAGCATCGTCCGAATTACGTTATGCAGGTAATGTCTGAGCTAATCAAACAGTGCAAGGTTTCGGAATGGGAGAGCATGAGTATGGACAGGAATCTCACCCAGTTCCACGACAATGTGGGTGCATGTGAGCGACTTTTCAAAACACCTATCCCGGTGGCGTATACAAGGCTGACTTCCCGAGTATTGTCACTATGGCACATCTCCTTGCCTTTTGCACTCTGGAATAGTTGCCATTGGCTCACGATCCCTGCCACATTCTTCAGCAGTGCAGCGTTGTTCTACATCGAGGAAGTCGGTGTGCTGATCGAGGAGCCCTTCTGGATTCTAGCTCTGATGTCTATCAGCGACGGCATTTGCTCTGCTTTAGATGGTCTTGTGGCAGCACACCAAGAGACACGACTAGTGTGGGGAGTTCATCCACAAGCTGTCTGTAAGAAGGATCATGTTGTGATCACTTTCGAGAATTCCAGGTCATGTGCATCAGACGGATTTCGCCCCCAACATGACTACATTGACGTTGCCATGACCAGGGTAAACTCAGTTAGCTAAACTTAGTTCGACAGATTAATTCTTAGCTGTACCTCGCACATCTTTGTACAATCTAGAAGGTGCCGGATCATCCTTGTTTGCTGGGAGCGATCGATTGATCGTCGAGCAGTTGCAGCTTAAGGTAGGATTGGCTTTAAGGGTTAGTCATCGAACCCTTTGTTAAGCATCAAACTCAACACTGGCGAAGTGTGTAAATTTCTGAGGCATCAATGCTCCCTCTCTCCGGAGCTGCATACCTCTGTTCGAAACCTGCGAATATGATCGACGTAAACCCTAGTTTTTACGGTCTAGCCCTAAGAAATGAGGATGTTAGCGACCCTATAACCTGCTGAAGATACTGTATGATTCTGATGACAAACTCTATGTTAACAAGTCTTTCGGTTAAACTCAAGAGAGCACCCAGAGTTTCTCAAAAAAAATCCTCGAGGATTTGTGAAACATCTGCTTATTTTGTTCTGCATTGTGGTAATGGAAACATCTTAAACTATCAGGGAACAGTCTGCTGGTTTTTAGTTTGTGGAATATAAGGCTATACCATCCTGCAGTACTGCATCCTGCACTAAAATAAGTTGTTAGAATGAATAATAAAACACAGCAAGAAATTATATATATATATATATATATATATACATACATATATTTACACTGTTTCATTCAATCATTTTGCGCCTTGAATCTTACAACTAAATTTTGAATGTTTTTGGTGTAAGCACGCACAGAATATGTTGGATTTCAATGCCACGTAACTGTGAATCAGATTGGATCCCCTGTAGTCAAAATGGGTACAACAAGAAGTTTTTTTGGTTTCTTTTAAGAAAAAAGAAAGAAAAAAGATTGGTGGTGTAACATTACCTCGTTATATATATATATATATATATATATATTACTCAACTCCAAAGACCAGTAAAGAGTGGCAGCCTTGGTATTATCACAACACAGCCTTCAAACTGTTCTATTGTTCTTCAATGCCACATACTCCGATCAGCTAGCTCCAAACATTTGAATTCTAGGTAGAAAATAAAATAAAATAAAATAAAATAATTCTTAATGGTCTTTCTCTTTGTGTCACATAAGAGTATCTTTTTTTCTGGAGGATGGTGGGCGAGGCATTCACATCAAGTCTTTCGGATAAACTATTAGTGTGATATTAGAAAGAAGAATTAATCTTTCTTTCCTTCTTCTCGTTTTGTCCAAAAATGAGAATCTTTTGTTTGTTTTTTTTGTTTTTTTTTTTCTTATGTCCCTCACCAGCATTGTTCTACCGAATGAAGGCTGACCACCCCATAGATTATATTCGATTATATTAGTTGGACGAAGCGTGATTAGCAATTAAAGCTTAGATTATCGAGAGATCAAGAGCCACAGCTGATAAAGCAATATGTATGGTAGTTGAGCTGCCCCTCAACCCTAGTTTTTGGGCTATCCCATTTCTAATTTTGACAAGCTTTGAACTAATATTAGACAGGTTCAAAATTACCATAAACTGTAAGAGGTCGGTAAGTGGTATTGAGGACTGCAATTTTCCTCAATGAAGTTCATGCTTTAAATCCCTATTGAGACATTCCTACAGATATTTTTATTATTTAAGTTGAAGAATTTTTATTTCAAATTTTTCAAATTTTTCTATGTTAATAAAAGGGATCTTCATATCTAGAATTCCAATTTTTTTTGAATTGGTTTAAAATGATTTTATCAAGATTCCCTACTTGGTGAATAAAGACCCTCTTTAAAAGCCAAGGTCTTTGGATATAGTACAAAGCAAGAAAAGATAGATACAATCTTTATTGTGGTATAACATTGAATTCTTTTTAATTTTTTTATAACTTTAAAATATTTTATATTTAATTAAAATTTACCAAAAACACAAGAGCTATTCTAAAAGAATTTAAGAATACTTAGTTATATTTTGCTAATTATAAATAAATATTATAGATATAAATATTTTTATTATTTTTGAAATTAGATCAAAAAATTAAATTTGATTTTTTAACTTCAAAACTTACTAATTATTTCTAAAATTTTATTGACCACAAATCACTTTTTTTAATTAAATTTAAATTTGATTTATATATCATATTTTAATTAAATACGTATTTACATTCTAAATGATTATTTAGTTGAAATATATTTAAGTTATTTTCAATAGCATTTAATAAATTTAATTACAAAATTAATGGGATATATATTTTTTAAGATGTAGATTCATGTTATGATAATTTATAGTTGTAAGTTATGATTGATATTTGAAATCAGATAGCATAAAATAATTATTAAAAAAAAAGGTTTGTTAACTAAATAATAATTATAAAAATGATAAAAAGAAAAAGTAAACCAAAAAAATCAAGGTAAATATATTATCTGATACAAAAAAAGAATCTATTAATAAACACTACAAAATTCTAATAAAAGTTGATGATACAAAAAATATTCTTCAATTAAAATTTAAAAAATAAAATTAATTCAACATATCAAATAAATTTAATCAAACAAAAAAACCAATTCAGTAAGCAAATCAATAAAATACATCAAATAAACAATCAAATAAATCAAATAAAATCAAACCTAAAAAAAAATCAAATTACTCAAATCAAATCAAATTGAATAAGAATACAAATTCTTTGTCTTTTTACAGGGAATGGATAAATAGTTCCACTTGGAATCATTAAAATGTAACAAGAACAATGTACTAGAAGATTCATTTATTGTTTTTTTTAGAAAATATCTTTCAGCGTATTGTGAAAATGTACATACAAAATAGAAATACCAGCATATAAAAAAAGCTTTAGGACACCAAAAAGAATCATTCTGGACAGTTCTCTTATACATCCATCCAGTTATGCATTCATCCATCATCCATCCATTTAGAAGAGCAGAAGGAACTTTTATTCTATTGTTTAAAGTATTTTCCATGTCTCTAAGCCAAAGAGCCATTCTTTGAAACCCAAAATCTAGCATGTGAATGCCAAGTAGCATTTAGGGTCCTCCAAATGTTGGCACTAACATGAGAAAAATAATATCTTGACCATGGCTTTGTAAAGTTGATAAGAGCAATTGTATGTCGGTTGAATGAGTTGAGTGGAGTGAAGTTGAATGCAACAACAAATTTGTGACCAAACAAAGTGCCGAGTGGAATGGACAACTATGGCAAGCCCCACTTTCAATGTTGCCTAGGGAGACTACAACTTGAGAAACAATCTACTACTAAGTTTCAAACATAAAATGGAGTTGTTTTTGCTGAGAGTTGAAGAATTCAAAGTGTAATAAAATTACAAAACTTAAAGTAAACCTTCAAAAAAAAAAAAAAAAAAAAAAAAAACTATTGTGAAAAAAATTCTGAATGTGGAGTAAGTTCATTGACTCATCGTGTACATCCGGTATCTTCTAGAGAAGTTATACATTGTCCTTTTTGTGTTCCTTTCTTCTTTTAAAACACAAGATAGAGCTTGATTTTAATATAAAACATGAGAATTGTTAAAACTTTAAAACTCAATTCTTTTTCCATTAAAATATCACATGCAATGAATTGCACCATATATGTGCTTCAATACTACTTTCAATGATGGATTTTTGAGTCACATTCAAAGCACAACAGGACCTTTGGAATTGATTCCCCATAGAGGAATTTCAACAAGTATTGATTCTTCAGAAAGGAAGTTGACCTTTTTGCAAAACCAGGGTGTTTTATATATGCTTTGAAATGTTAAAATTGTAGAATTTAATCATTTTGCTTATATATTTGCACATACATACATATATACAGAAAAACACAATTTTGTACTTGTAAAAAGCCTGCAAGAGTTGAAATTTTTGTGTACTTGTATATGATGTACAAAAAATTTAATAAAGCCATATTGTGAAAGGTATGATGTGTGTTGATTTGCACCTACCTTTTTCACTCAACTGCATTTATATTTTATGTTTTAAATCTCATTGACTTGAACTTTTTCTCTATTTTTAAGTTCATTTTATTGCTTTCTCTTCTCTACCTTACATAATAATATCACATGATCCAGTAAAATAAATAAAAATAAAATAAACAAAGCATTGGCAATCCCCTTTGGTGAGATAGTTATAGGCACATAGTAGATTCTGGGGGTCTCATCCTTCCTTTGCCCCTTCAATTCACATCCTCCATCACTCTACATCTTCTCTTCCTCAAACAAATCAAAACAAAAAAAAATTACAATTTGTACATAGCATGTTTCTAAAGCACCAAAATTCAATCATCAAAACTCAACACGCAATCAAAAACTCAACAACCTCGCCTCCAAACCAAGGACTCCATTGAAAACACATCACCCAATAAGACAAAAACAACAACAATGGCAAACCAAGCCATAAATGCATGGGGTGGGTTTCTCTCTCCATGTTATCATTATTATTCCTAGAGAGGTAGACAAATCAACCATGGAAGAAGCGTAAAGAAAAATTGACCTTTTCGGGCGCATGTGGAAGCATCTCACAAAAGACCTTCAATGCAAGTCCTCTAGTACTCCCAAAGCATTGAAGGAAGGAGAAATTCTCCGGAAGGAAGGAAGGAAGCGTGTAGAGAGGGAGAGAAGCAAAGAAGGAAATGGGAGGGGGAAGTGGAGACGGCAAGGAGGGGGAGATAGAGAGCAGCGGTGGCCATGTGGGCACAATCGAGGAGGACGAGGACGAGGAAGATGAGAGAAGGGGAAGCAGGGGTGGGAATGATGTGGACATCATCCGGAATGTTCTGGCCGTGCAGCACGTTCCCGTGGTGGGCTCGCTTGCTTGGGACAAGCTCCAGCACCTGCTCCACTCCCTCTCGGACCGCATCACCTCCCAGGTTCCTCCCTTTCTCTCCATTTTGCTTATCCATTGTCTGTACATGACAATGTTATACCATCACCACAGCATATTCATACACACCCAGGTCGTGAGTTTTGTTCTTAATGCATGGATATCGTGTTGGCTTAAACTGTCTGAATGTTACTCTTGTGGGTCAAAATGCTGGTCAGCCTGTCAGTTTCCATTCCAGTGTACTTCTTGAAATGTTTGGCATATTAGGCTGAATGAATGATTTTTTAGATTTTAATTTTTTTAGTATTAAAACGTAATTTCATGTTTTATCAAATCAATGTTTTAAAAATAAAGTTTGATAGTTTGTATGTAATATAAATATTAAATTTATTATTATGTTTTTTTAATTGAGATATCATGAATTGATTTTTGAATGAGAGTATTGCTTATACTTAGAAGATTGATCAACAGCATCATGATCACTGCTTATTGAATGTAAACTATTGAATTGATGGAACAGAGTGCTCGGCTAGAAAAAGCTGAAGAACAAGCAAAAGTAATAGCAAGTCTGAAAGACGAACTTAATACCTTAAGGTGACCTTCTCTTTTCTATAATCATTAAATCACTCACTCCCTGTTGTGATTTAAAATTAAAATAAAAAAAAAACAAAACAAAAAAAACAAAACAAAACAAAAACAAAAACAAAAACAAAAATGATAAGACACAAGAAAATTGGCACCGAGGTTCATCACTATGAATACAATTGATGATGTTCATGTAGCTCATTCTGTTGGTATTGAACAAACTAAAAATGGTTCCTAAGTTCACCATTGCAAAAATAGAATTGGTTTAAAGTCCTAGATTTTGTTCACAGCCAAAATGTTGAAGCAACGGCCAATGAAGCCAAAGATACTCATGCACAAGACTTGGCCCACTTTATGGAACTTATGGAAGCTAGATTTAATGCAATTGATGAAATAGTGGAGCCGATGAGGAACAGGAAAACATCATCGGAACTTAATGACATCTTAGAGAGACTCGCGGCCATGGAAAATGGGCACAAAGAAACAAATTCCCATGCCAGGAAACTTGAAGGCCAACTCAAGCAAATCGACAACCACATCCAACAAATGGATCACGACTTGCAAGAGCTTGACTCAGAGTTCACCAATAAAGAGTCACAAGGACGTGGAATGGATACTTCCGACCTCACCAAGCGCATGAACTTGCTTGAAGCGCAAGTGAGCCACCACTTCTATATGGAACTTTGCATCATGCTTAATCCATGTTGGATGGCAACAATTAGTTCTTGCAATGGTTTTTGCTAAAATACATTCTAAGAACATGTTTGTGACTTGTAGTTGAACCTTTAGATTTTTATATCTTTGGATTTTATGTTGTAAAATATGGATAGATGGATGAAACTCCTTCATTTGTTGTTTGATATTTTGAAGAATTTCCTTCTATGACAATTTAATTTCTACATTCACCAAAATATATACTAACATGTTCTTTGGTTGTTTAGATGTGTTAAAAAGTCTTATTTTAAGTATGAATTGTCTAAGCTATAGTATACAAAGTTTGTATACAACATGATAATCTACTCTTTACAATCCTACATTCTTTTTTACTCTTGACTAGAAGATCACAAATCTAAGAAGTTCAATGCAACATTAGTAGTATCAAAATACAAGTTGTTTGTTTGTTTGTTTGTTGTTGTTAACATGAGAATAAAATGAGAATAACAGATGAAAGAGTTTCAAGAGTTGATGAACCAAGTCACAAAAGCTCACACAGCTGATCTTGAAGCTATTCAAAAAACACAAAGAGTAAGCATTATCATGAATCAAAATCTACTATTCAATCATCCATATATATATACATGCATGATTTCCTTGACCTTCTAGTTTCTATTGTAGTTTTAATTATTTTAGAACATGTTTTAGACATTGCGTGCAGATTTGGAGGCCAAACCATTGCACTCACATGGTGAAAGCAGTGGCAACAATGCGGGTGTTGATGAATTGCAAAAAAGACTAGAAAGAAAAGCAGACATTGATGTGGTCGAGCAATTGTTGCGTGCATCAACAAACACTAAAGAGGTAAAGATTTAAAATAAATAAATAAATAAATAAATCAAAAATCAAAACATAATTACAAATATCACATACTATTAAAAAGAAACATTTTTAATTTTTTTTATTGTTTTTAATTAAAATTTTATACAGGGCCTTGAAGCATTGTCAAGGTCTATGGAAGAAATGAAGAAAGGGATCAACAAGTCATCACGATTTTCAGTTAAAATGGATGCTCCTCCAGCATCTGGGGTAAGCTATTTTCGTTTAAATTGATTATTGCCATAAATTCTTTGTACTGTTTCAGTAAAGATAAAACTGTTATGAAATACACTCGGATTATTTTTTTTATGATTCATTTTCTGCAGGGAAGTGATTTAATTTCTACTCAAAGTGATGACTTTGGATCACAAGTTAAAAACATAGAAGATGAACTGGCAACTTTGGTATTTACAATATAAATGCTTATATATATATATATATATATACACGTAATCACACTTACATACACACAACACTATTATTTCTATTAAATACACCTATTTTTTTCCATTTTTAATATTTTTTTTCTTTCAAAAAGCTTACAAAGATATTGCAGATGAGTAGATTATCTGCAAAAGCTGATAGATCTTCAATTGATGAGTTGGAATTCAAAATGGCTACGAATTATGGAAATGGAGATAAAACCAGAGAGAACAATGGAGATCTTCAAGATGTTTTGAAGGTACTGAAATAGTTTAAAACCTGGTACACACAATACATATCATAAAGTTTGAATACCAAAATTTGTTGAAATACTAACAACATACAACAATATATCTTAGCAAAGAAATTCATGTGCATTATTTCATGATAAATTATCAATAAATTAAAATTACTCATTTTTGTTAAATTGTTTTAATGAATTCGCAATGAAACGAAGATACATTTAGTAATCTAAAAATTAAAAATGTAGCATCACTTCCCAAATTGTTTCAATTCTTAGAAAACATAAAAATTATATTTTATTTCGTGCAGTATTACTATTTAATCAATGGTCTAGGTTTGTACATAACTGTAACTTGTCGAAAAAAATCTTCAAAATTTATTTGGATTTTAACCAGGAAATACTTGCAAAAAAGGTTGACCGAGCTGAACTGCTTGAATTAGTGAAAAGCAGTGTAAGTTTTATTGCTATAGTCAAGGTTTATATCATTTGATTATACCCATCGCCCAATATTTATTCTTATTCCATTCTTTTAAACTGCATGTCTCTTAGTTTTATTTCTGTTTATTTTATTTCATTTTATTTCTATGTATGTCTGTCAGTATCTACAACCACACTCATTTAAACCAGAATGACTTGTAGTGTGGAAGTGATATAAAAGAATTGATGGACCAATTCAACACATTAAAAGCGACCCAAGCACTGTTGGTATGTTTGGACAAATCACCCCATTTAAAATTCTCGAAATAGATCAAGACACAACAAAATCACCTATCAATAATGCTTGTACTTGTATGAAGAGAGAGAGAAAAGAGAGAGAAATATACATGTGTATATATATATATATATATATATAGATATGAAAACTTCAATTAAAAAATGGCCACAAAAAATCACCTAAAATTTTTATTTCAAAAAGAGTGAGAGTAAAATGGAGAATTTTTCAAATTACGGTATTCTTGAACCTCCAGTATAAGCCGATGATTTTTATGGTTAAAGTAAGATATAATAATAATAATAATAATAACAATAATTGGAACGTATAAAGCCAATCCGTATGCGTCGGCTGGCACCCATCCTTCCATCCATCCATCTAAACGTTCGTCCATCCATCCATCCCTCCCTCCCTCCGTCCGACTGTGCAACCACGTAGGCAGAGCGGAGTGACCTGGCAGTTCTGCTGGCGAAACGAGTGGAGCAGATCGCTCATCCGGCGGCGGTGCTGCATGGGGGAGGTGGCGGACTGCTGGGCAGCCACGTGGACGATGAGGAGATCCAGACGGTCATTAACGAGCACGCCAACAGAATCATGGTCTACTCCGACATGCTCCTCCAAATCCAGGTCCCCCATTCATCTCATCTCACATCTATTCATCCATCCATTCCTTCTTCGCTTTACTACTTTTCCACTCTGTAACTGTCGTCTGCTTCGTGAAACCTCATTTATGGGGAGTTGTGTTAGTTTTCATGCATTGAGTTTTTCCAAAGTAATGAATCCTCTGTGTTGCATAAACAGTGTGCCCATATATTTTTATTATTGATAATTTTAACTTTTATCAGTTCTATAATTTTTCCACTTAAAGAAAGTAAAACTTGGTTTACCAGGTTGCATTGGCAAGCAAAGCTGATAATACAGCACTTGCAGCTTTGCGTGAGAGTGTAGAAAAATTGCAAACTGTAGGCGTAGGAGGGGGTGGTGCTAATGCAAAGGTTTTTCACATCCCTTCTTGTGTTTTAACAAGATTAACACAATATATGTGTTCAGCAATTTTTCTTTTAATTTTTAGAACTTAAAACTGTAAAAAAAATACAAATAAAATTCATACAAACATGTTACTATACACTATTTACGATTTATAATGAACGAATTTCAGTCTAGACATTCTTAACTCTGCATGTTTCAGAGTAGAGTAATGAGTTTATTTAATTAGTCGAACATTTCAGTACTGTAGTGAGTAAAATAATGATACTAAAAAATTATAAGAAAAGTGAGGCCAAAGGTGAGAAAACCATTGTTAAAAAGAAAACACAATCTCTTAGATGTTACATTCTGTTTGGAATTTGTATTTACCAGAAGAAACATTAGACAACGAAACAAATGGATTTGCAATCAGGATGATTTCTTCCATTGAACTTGTAATACAAGTGTGGTTTTGATTCTAGGTTGTTCAAGAAGTACAACAAAAGGAACAAGAGCTGATGAAAGGCACCATCAAAAGTCATGAAAAAATGTTAATGAAGGTAATGTTTTAAAAAAACAATAAAATATCCACTTATATTGGAATTTGTATTTGTAACCTTGAACATCACAATTATATATTTATAGGTTATTCTAATAATAATTATTCCAATGCAGTTACTAGAAGACGTAGGATTATTGGGAAAAGGAGTATTGATCATGTCAGGGCATGACAACGAGTTCCCACCGGACCACGTTACCCCGTTCCCTCCCGTGCTGACGTCATCCACCGAGTCAGCACCCATGTCACCTAGCTCCGTGGAGAGTGGACAGTCCCCCAATTCATTGGACGAACCAACACCGGAATCCGACGTGGCAACCCCGCTCCCGTCACCAAGCAAACCGACCCCTCCAGCTCAGCACGCACCTCCACGTGACGAACACCCTCCTCCTCAAGCTTTGACTGCGACAACTCCCGCTCCGGCTGAGGTGGCAGCCGTCCCAGTTGTCACTACCCCGTTGGTGGATGGAGTGCCAGATGGGCAACCAGCAGCGGTAACGGGGGACGCAGAGACCCATCCTCCTCCTCCTACTCCGGCACGGTCATTGGCACTGAGCAAGAGACTGACGAGGTTTGGGAGCCTTAATAATAGTAGTAGTTCGGCAAGGCAGCCTTCGGTGCTGCGCATCACTACTGTTCATGAAGCCAGCCAAGCAGTGGCAGATTCCAAATATCGTGAAACTCTTGGTGTCCTTGAGGTCTACATCTTCCTAAACCCTAATTCCTTCTTTCTATACCCCACATATGATTATTATTATTATTTTTTTTAGTCAGTTAGTTAGTACGTGGGTGTATTTTTATTTGTTTATTTATTTTGCATATTTTTACTTCTAGTGATTAAGTAATGTTACTAGTAACTCTTCATTAAAGTGAACATAAAGGTAAGTTGGTTTTTGTTATTTGGGTTGTGTGATTTTTTGTGTTGTAGTTTATGTTTTGGTATGTGGAGGTTAAATGATTGGAATAGAGAGTTGTAAACGTGAGTTCATGGAAATTTGTGAACTTTTTTTTTGTTTGTTTTGTTTTGAAATGGAATATGAGCTTTGATGTTGTAGGATGCCATTAATGAAAAAAAGCTTGAACCCAAAGAGAACGTGGCTGTGTTGAAGCGTTTGGTTATGGAAGTTGAGAAGATTTCAATTGAATTGGAGAGTAATTTGATCCTTATTGATAGTTTGGAACAAAATAAACTTGACAAAATTGATTTCCAGGTACTTTTGTTATTCATGCAAATGATTTGGTGGTTTCCAGGTATTATTATTAATTGCACTAACTATGCAAGTATGTATGTATTTGTGTGTATATATATATATATATATATATATATGAAAAAGGGTATTAGTTAAATACTATAATTTTTTTAAGTATCAAGATATTATTTCATATATATATATATATATATATATATCTATTCAATGAATTAAACTTACTAAATTAAACTATTTCGTGTGATCTCTAGGCACTAGCTAAGATTGTAAAAGAGCTTAAAGCTATGGAGAATGCCATGTTGTCAGGAAAACCCATCTTAGGGTTTAAATGCATGTGAGATGTCTTTTTCCTTTAAAAATAATCAACAATCACGTATGTATGTTTTTTCTCCTTTTTTATTATTTTTTTAATTGATTAATTTGTCTAGTTATTCACATCACTGTATTCAAATTGTAGGTCTTGTAACCATGATTTGGAGAGGCTAAGTCCTATCAGAGGCCCTGCAGTGCCCACAAATCAAATGCCGCGGAGTTTTCTATCAATGCTTTCAGCAGAGCGGATATTTTCAGCGGTACCAATCAAAAAGTTTTATTTTATTTTATTTTAAAGTATACATTTTTCCTATTTAGTATTAATTTAATTTTAAAAATGTCGATCTTAATTCTCTTGTGCAGAGCAAAAGAGAATTATCACCTACACGAACCCCACCAATAACTCCAACTTATGCAAAAAGTCACAATGAAATCAACAAAAATCCTAAAAGAAAAAATTCATATAAAATACATTGATTTTTTATTTTTTTATTTATTTTTACTATGGAATTTATTAAAATTTTCAATCAGTTTTTTTTTTTTTTTTTTTTTTTTTTCTTAATGTACAATGCAATTTTCTTTATATATATATATATATATATATATATATATTACTTGTTTTCATTGATTCTAAATTCATTCAAAAATTCAGTTTTTAAACATGTAGTATCTTTGAATGATTTACATTAAATTGATGTAGATAGATTCAAAGAAGTATTAAACTGTTCATGTCATCAGATGTTACTTGAAAACAAATTGTTACAAAATTATATTCAACGCTAATTCAAACTCAAGATTCCGCAAAAATGATTGAAATGTTCAATGAATATGGTCTAGTGTAGATGATTGTAGTGACACACATAAAAACAAAAAACATATATTTTTAACTTGTTTAATATTTTTTCAATAAAATTTACAATCAGCATCTCAGTTATTTAAAACTGTAACTTATTTTGCCTCTGTAATCCACAATATTGAATTATCTCACAAATGTTAACAACTTTTAACTCTACATTTTTGAAGATGAATTATCTTGGATATAATTACTAACTTAGATTTTGAGTGTATCAATTTGAGAAGTGTTAGAATCTACGGTTAAAGGTGCATTTATCTTTATTATCTTAATAATTATTTTAATTTAGAAAGATAACTTTGATACCACTATATTCAAATTATCAATTTACAAAATATAACCCATTTGATACAGATAATTTCTGATTAATTGGACTATGTAATTCTTCTGTTTTATGAAGTTTAAAACAATTGTTCTTTTATTGTCAAAAACTTCAAACTACTTTCTAAAGATGTTTTTCCTGTCTTTTGCTAGCTTTAAACATGTCTTATTACAAATTAAACATCTTCTTCTAATAATCTTCAAAATTATTTTCTATTTGATTTCTATTCTAAATTAATTAAAAATAATATTAAAATATTAACAGGATTACTTTGTGATTTGAGTTAAAACCTTTATTTTCTTTCATAGTAGTTGATTTTGTCCTACAATTAATGAAAAGAGTATTTCACTTTGTAACTTATAGTAGACTCAAAATATATTGTTTATTATTATTGTTTATTATTTTAATATATATATATATATATATATATATATATATAAAGTCACACCCTCCTTTGCCACCTCATGATTTATGTTATATGTTATAGATGCATTAGTTGTTTATGCAAGGTTTATAAGAAAGCAACAATGTTCGCTTTGCAAAACCTTATGGATGTGTTTTTTAGAAGGTGCATATTATCCACAAGACTACATTGTAGTAGCATTGTTATAATCATATTTTTCATCTTTTATGTACTTCAGATTGATTTCCACCACATTGGATTTATATCCTTTTTGGTTGTTTACTTGTCATCATACTGGTTGCTTTATTGTGGTTCAAAAAGCTCATCATCACATTTTGTAAAGGATTTAAACTCATGTCATCAAACCTATAATTGCATTAAATCTCACCAAATAAGCTCTATAGAATTTACTTGTATTTTCCTATGTAGATGTTTGTTGTTTGATGAAAGAGTGTGTTAAGTACTGGTTTGGTACATGCAACTTTTTGCTTCTCTGCTAACTAGGTTGTGAAGCTGTGATAACATTTGAGTTGATTGTCTAGGCTGAGTGCATTACAGACCATGAGAATGTTTGTTATGCATGTGAACAAATGTGTCTATATATGCAAGGTCTACTTTGCATTTCATCCCATGGTATGCAAATATTGTGCTAAAAGAAGCGCTTCTCATGGTTGTAAGTGTTCACTGTGTGATGCATGCTGTTTGCTAGTGTGAGGGTGTTTTGTCATAGCCATTCACCATGGTGCAGATTGTACCATGTTGGAGGCGGGCACAAGAAGTTTTTGTCCAGTCATGGAGCAAGAGAGAAGAAGATAGAAAAAAATTGCATGATTGTAAAACAAAACCCTGGACGTGCATTCAAGTTTGAGAAATTACTCGATGCAAAACCAGGTCCCATAGAAGTAGCGCTAATGTTGCAACTTCCATAGAAGACATTGAATCTTCTCCACTGTATATTGGAATTGACAGGGAGGGGGAGGAGGATCGAGACTGGGGGGGTAGAATTCAGGTGGAGTTGCATTGGACATGAAGAATGAGAACAGTATTGGAGACAAGGCACAAGTACAGAATGAATTATGATGTGGCAAAGAGGTGTGGCTTTACCAAAATTGGAGTGTGGTTTTAATAAATAATAAATGTGAATTAATTCTTCCAAAACAACTTGATGAAAAAGAATTCTCATATTGAAATATTTATATGTAAAATTTATTACTTATTAAAATGAAGGTTATTAATTACACATGTATATGTATATATATATATATATATATATATGTGTGTGTGTGTGTGAGTGTGTGTGTGTGAGGATTTACTATATAAATCATAATTTATTCTAAAAATATAAAAATCATAATAAATTAAAATAATATTAAGAATTAAACATATATAATACATGAAATCTTATTAGTAGTGTAATTAAAAAAATAGAATACTAAAATATTTAAATCAAGATACAAGAAGATAGATTTATTTATTTTTATTTTTTTAAAATTAAAAATTTTACTATTAAATATAAATATATATATATATATATATATATATATTGCAAGACAAATGTTAAGTTTACACTTTAACTAAAACTTTTGAGATGGTGAAGGATAGAATAAATATTTTTTAACAACTTTTTGATTAGTAATCAATCTATTGTGATATCACATATTTTAACTTGTGTATTTTTTCAATACAATAATATTTTTTAATAGATTAAAATACCTTCTATTATTTATATTTTTAAATTAAATTTGAATTTGGCTGAATAATTTTTTTTTATTTAATATTTATAATTTTGAAATAATATTTTAAATTTGAAATTTATTATTATACATGTATTTTTATGCAATTTATTTCATGTTAGAACTTTACAACATGCTATTTAGCTTCTAGAAGTAAATTTTAAATAATTTAATATATGTAACTATGTTTGTATATACCCAAAAAATTATAAAAGAAAATATTTAATTTTTAAAATTATAAAAATAGAATATAAAAATAATCTAAAAAAAGTATAAGTGATAAAAAAATTCCATATTTAGTTTGGAAAAGAAAAAAAAATCACTTGAGTATTATGGTATTCACTTATTTATTTTATTTTCAAATATTAAATTTTAGTTTTAGAGGCAATCAATTGTAATGAGTATCTACTTTCAAAAAAAATCATGGAAGAAATTACTGAGGCAAAAAAATGCCATAACATACAATTTCTTCTAAATTAATTGAAGATGTAAAAAATTCTACTTTGTAGCTGATAAATTTGTCACATAAATATTTTTGTCAAAATTATATTATTTTAAAATTTTCGTTTGAAAAAATACTTATAAAAATAGAATTATTATCTTGATGTTGCAATATTTAAATATTTCTGATAATTTTATAATTTTTTATAATTCAAAATTTTATTGATAGAATAATAATCTTAAATATTATAAATAATATCTCTACCACATTGAAAATCGAATTTTATACCATGAAAATATATATACATATATTGATGGTATATATCATATTGATATATATATATATATATATATATATATATATCAATATTTTTTGAATGATTTATAATTGGTAATTTATTCCTTGAATTTGGTGAATAGATATTAAAAAAAAAAAAAAAAAAAAAAAAATCTAGTTAACAAACATTAACTTGGCATTATGATGTGCATCATGAAACACATGTGTAGTGAAAAATGGACATGACATAGATAATCCTAGTATAACTTATATTCATGAACGATCTAAAAGAGAAGAGAAAAAAAGAAGAAAAAAAGTCGTAACAAAAAAGAATTAAAGCAAATAAATAAGCAAACATTCAAGTAACCAAAATGAACATCATACCTAAAACCTCCCATCACTTTCCAAGTGCACTAATTTATTGCACCATCTTTTCCAATAGAAATAATCACTACCCCTTCTAAGATTAAACAAAAGAAATAATCAAATGTTAAAACATGCAGGATATTGAACTTAATGGCAAAACCAGTCTTAACACCGTCCATTGCAAAATTGATGTAGTAAAAAAAAACAAAAAAAAAAAAACAAAACAAATCTTGTTGGTAAGCCGCTTTTTCATTTACATTTTATTTTATTTCTTTCTTCTTCCAGTGGGAAACCCATGCTTGTTGGGCTCAATCACACATTGTCAAGCTACCCTACAACACAAACCCACTTTCCACTTCATTTTAATTGCTGTTGACTGGATGCCTCAAAACTGCCATAAAAATCAAAAAGAAAAAGAAACAGACACTCGCAAACTGCGTACAGTGGCAACATCATCATCCACAAAGCTCCACTCGCCAAGTCAAGACCACCGTGTGTGCACATTGAACAGGTCTGAGCAGGCACGCCTTGTGAATTAGCTCCGAATGCTTGTCCACATCCCAGGCTTGTCGCGGCAAGCAGTGAATGTAGCTGCAAACAATCAGTGCCCTGCTGCGCGGATCTGGTATGCAAGCCATGGGATACAACAAACAAACAAACAAACAAACCTGTAGCAGAGGTGGTGTCGTAGTGGGAGCTCGCGGTGGATGTGGCCCCTAGATGTCAATCTTCATGGCCTCAATTCTGGTGAGAATCTGCCCTTGGGGTATCTGATGCTTCCCTCTCTTGTCCTTTGAGGCTTTGCCCTCAGCCGTTCATTCCAGGGTGTGGCTCACTAGCAGCTTGTGACCAGGTGGAAATACCAGATCTGGAGTTTTAATAATTTAGAATGGGTCCTTTTTATCTTCTTTCTAATCGCCTGCATAAACTATACAATCTTGTACTTCGACTTAAAGCGGTTTCAATGATACCCCCTCCCCTCCCCCATTTTGAAAAAAATATATTGAAATAAATGTTGTCGAATTCTCCATTCGTTACAAGTGGTGAGCATCTCCAGTTGTTATGTATTTATTACTATTTCGATTTATTACAGATATAAATATATAAATATATATCTATTGCTGGAAAAGCTTGTGCAAATAGTTTTGTCGTACATTAAAAAGACAAAGAAGAAGAAGAAGAAGAATGATAACAAAAGAATTCAAATATTGAAAATTAAATATTACAGTTTAAATATTTATTTTGTGGTGTTGAAGTGTGGGTGTGGTATTGTACCGATATCAATGCTCTACCCACAGATAAGAGAGCTTGTAACTGCACTCTTCCATGGAAATCCTGTGCTTAAAGACCACTCAATTCGCCCAATTGTGAAATCGAAATGAAGAACACTCAGCGTTGATCCATTCACAGACAGACTTACTGATTACTTCACAACTGAACTTGTCACTATGACGATGCTAGACTATAGAAAGTGAGCCGCTTGCAATTGAAACCCGGAACAGTTTGTATAGGGATAGAATATCACTGCTACGAAGCGGCCAAGGGAAGCAAAGGCGCACGCCGATTATATACAGGTTTTACAAACTCAAGAGCCAGTATTTTGTCGTGGTTGCACCCCAGATTTCCTTGTCAGTTGTGATGGATTTCCACCGCAGAAAGAGAAGTCGATCACTTTTCCAGTGATAGGTTTAGGATGCTTTCAGACAAATCTGCGAAACATGACACTGACCTAACACGGTTGAAGACTTTCGATAAAGATCTCCTGAAAAATACTGAAGAATATTTAGCATTACTGCTCAGGTATCCAAGCACGGGTGAGTACGAAACAGATGGCTATTGGGGGAAACACTCAAAACTTTAAAACCAGGTCACTATCTCACCGCATCGACGAAGTAATGCAAAACTTCTCATTCTGTTATTTTGATACTTGCTATTCTAGCACTGTCCAAACAGGACCCACCTCTACAGGCACGGGGAAACATTACTAGTTCCCATATTCAGCAATTCTATAAGTCAGAGCATGGTGTCAGTTGGCATGCAATTTAAGATTTACCTGACTAGTGGACTGCTATGCAGCACGAGAGACTGCATGATAGTTACGATATGTCAGAAATTGTGCCCAACGGCAGTAAATTTTCGAAAGGGGTTCCTCGTCCGTCAACTTCATGCCACGAGTGTCATGCTGTGACTGGTCAGGGCCTCACGAGACGCTGTCGACGGAGAAACTGCTGTAGTCATTTGACTCATCTCGAAACTGCTGAAATTCTCGAGCAGATTATGAGCCTTAATAACCCTCTGATTGATTTCCTGTCTCCTCAGACAAGCTGGTTAATTTTGTTTTCTTAAAGTACAGTCTCAAGTGGTGATCTATAAAGATTACAATAAACTACGTAGTAGGTGCACTAGACTCTAGAAGGGTTAGGTGTAGAGTTCAATGATGTGAGTGGACTCAAATGAGAAACATAAGTCTGTATGCACTGAGAGCGTTCTTCAGTTCCAGGGAAGAGAATGAAGAGAGTCTGCATTTGATTTTCCAGAGAGAGAGAGAGGATTGTAGCGGGTAGAGGACGAAAGAGAAAATAACTCTTCAGTGTCGCTCACGGAACTCTCCAGCAGCCTATTATCACGGACTAAGAACCACGTTCAGGCCAAGGAGCAGCTGTGGACAAGCTTCCAATTCAAGGTACTCATCATCCCCGCACATGTCGAACTCCGATCTCCACAATCGTCGCTTTTCTCAAACTTGTATGGCGCTGACGGTGCTATCGATACCCTCAGTCGGCGATTGAGTGACTGACTTTCCCATTCAAAGGAACTATGTGTCACTGCAGTGGCATGAGTACTTTGAGGACCATGCAGTTCATCGCAAGTCTGATCACTGGACCTTCTGGTTTGATAACTATGCGCGTTCAGAACTTTGTGAATATTCAGGCGCAGTTCTAAAGTTATGCAGAGACTCTGCGGCGGAAGTGTGTTCAATGACTGGTCTTCTCTGGATCCGGTATCCATAACATCATTCCGCATTTCTACTGTAGTGCATGGTCAATAGATGGATGCACTTACCATGTTTGTGTGCCGATCCGGTGGGGTGTTGTTGTTTGCTCTAGAGTATATCTTTGTGGCTTACTCGATGCACTCTGTAACCTACTGATGCAGAGGATGAATTCGGCGCTGACATTGTCTTCATCGTTGGAAGCACAACCAATTGCGTCGTAATATCACTGAATCCAGTAATTGAGAATGGTGTTCAGTTCGCAGATCAGATTCTATTTCTGCAAGAAGAAGCTACACCTGTACATCGATTAATAGCTGGCTCCATTTTGATTCTTGTTTCGTTTCGTTCTGCGGGCTTGAAGTTTTTATCTCAGGTATCCAACACTATAGGTACCAGGTTCACCAGACTTTAGAGCGCACGGTTTCTGTTTTATGATCTTTTTCAAAATTTTCAGTTTATTCAAGTAACCTCTGGTAGTAAAATTCGTATTTTTTGTACACCTTCATGTTTACTGTGTAATCTTTGAAATTTCTTTTATAATCAGTAATTCTACTCCCTGAAAGAATCTGACTTGGTGTGCAATCTTAGGTTGATCATCATGCACAGAAACACAGTGTACGGCCACACAGAGTGGCGAAGACACAAGTCTTGCTGGAGGCACAGTCGCCATCTTTCATCAATATTCTCTTCAGGAGTGATCTTCACTTTGGGTCCACCTGTAATTCTCTGCACTCTCGTCGCGACTTTGGTCTCAGTCATCAACCATTTAGTGCAAGATAGGCGTCTTCCCAAGTGGATGCCACTTCTTCACGTCGCATCGCTACCGTTCACACTCACTGCTCCGGTGTTGGCCCTCCTACTTGTTTTCCGCACAAACGCTTCGTATAGTCGTTTCGACGAGGCTCGCAAAGCATGGGGATCAAATGTCAACAGGACAAGGGACTTGGCAAGACAAGCTTTGACGTGGATACGAATGCCATGTGACGCACCAAAACTGCACTGTCTACTGCGACATATCAAGGCTTACTCACTGTGCTTGAAAGATCACATGACTGAAGATAATACACTCAGAGAAGAACTGACGGCTGTACTCGAGCCCAGTGAAGTGGACTGTGCGATGAGCTCTCAACATCGTCCCAACTATATTTTACAGGTTATGTCGGAATTGATCTCACAGTGCCAGATTTCCCAGTGGGAGAAGATAACTATGGACAAAAACATTACAGCGTTTCATGATAATGTGGGAGCTTGTGAAAGAATCTTCAAAACACCCATCCCGCTCGCCTACACGCGCTTGACATCTCGCATGTTAATGTTCTGGCATCTGGCTCTACCAGTTGGGCTTTGGAACACGTGTGGTTGGCTCACAATTCCTGTCTCGTTCATGAGCGCAGCTGCATTGTTTTACATTGAAGAAGTCGGAGTTTTAATCGAGGAGCCGTTTTGGATTCTGCCGTTGTTGTCGATCAGTCAAGGCATTTGCTCTGCAGTTGATGGTTTGTATGTTGCACACAAAGAAGCGTCCATGTTGTGGAGCATTCACCAACCAACAAATGTTAATGACCATGTAATTATCAGCTTTGATGGATCGAGGTCCGCTGGGATTTATCAACACAACAATATTGATGTTAAATTCTCTAGAGTAAACTCAGTTGGTTAAAAAAAATTAAAAATCTAAAGTAATTAATTTGTATTACAGTAGAAATGAATTAAAGCTTAACTATATTGGCATGTTAGAACAGATGTAGTTCCAGATATTCTAACTTATTTTGTTAATAAAATATTTCAAATATGAAAGTATATTTAGAGAGGCATAATCTATACCTCCAGTTATTTTAGTATAAATATCGTTTACGAGATGGTTTGTATACAAAAGTACGAACAGAATGTTTACATACAGAATGTCCACACAATGTATTCCAGTATATACATTAAATGCACAAGAAACACTTTGCAAGAAAATGTTTACTACCTCTTAACGTAATCCTGCGTCAGAAGATGATACTCTCTAACCCTTGCGGCACAGCCCCAGTACCACAGAAACTACAGAACAAGTGTGTGGTTCGGAAACATCCTGGAGAGACTCCTGATCACCACCCCCCCCCCTGTCTCCACGCTGCAACTGCTTGCTTCGCATCATCGTCGTGTCTCACCCCGAAAAGATTCGTCCTTACAACAACTTTAGTTTCTATCGCGGCGAACTTGAACCATGCAAACCGTCGACCCAGTGTAGGACCCTCGCGAGATCTTTACAGCTCTGGAAAGTTCTACCTCTGCTTCACGCTTTGCTCACACAATTCCAGAGCCGCCAGGAAAGCGACATGGGTTCACACACAAGACTCTGGACCTTTTTATCGGGGGTAGGGGGAGGAGGGGGGTGCACAGCAACCGACGGCACTGCGGAGCTACAGCAAGTTGGAGATCCCGCTGGAAGTACTAGTAAGGTACTAAAGGAGAGGACAACGATGTACCTGCATGGTGTACGAGCCCCACTGACTGATAGTTTCACGATGTGCACCCCAACACTGGTGCCAGAGCGGCTCTACCCCAATAAAGACGATCAGTAGACAACGCATGTGCCGCTGACCTCGCAAACGACGAAACCCTGCAGACTGCGTCACTCACCATGCCTCTCGCTACTTTTTATTCTATTGCAACGGTGTCGAAAGTCGCTGCAATTCCGCGTCCCTTTGGTTTTATCTAGATTTCTCCGAGGCTTGCAGCGGTGATGATGGCTGCTGTCCTGCAGGTTGCCTCCAGATGGGTAGGTGGCTGGGATAGAGAGTGCGTTACCACTATCAGCTTTTTTTTCGTTTCATTTCTGTCTTTTTTAATAATATATTCCCATCGTACAGGGCTTCGAAACTCGCGAGTGTTTGCAACTGTGTTTGTGTGTGGATAGATAGAGGCAATCATCGCTACAGCGATGATTCCGGTGTTTCATGATTCTACCATATGGCTCTCACTCTTGCTTGGAATTAGTGGTGGCTTGGGCTTTGCAAATCCCTTTTCCTATGCAAAGCTTGTTCAGCAATCGTCACGAGTAGTGGTGACTTGGGCTCTGAAAAAGTCTCAAAAAGCGATGCTTTGATGGCCATGTTTAGTTTTTTAAAACAAACATTTGTGAAACGGAAATGGTCATGTCCCCTTCCTATTGGTCGTAATAAGTTGTTCACTTACTTCCAGAGTCTATTTCAAGACTCTTGAATAGTGTCAGGACCTTATAATAGAAAGCCAATGCAAGCAATGGGCATAATATCTATTAGTAACATGTTATTTAATGAGACAATGGGCACTTTGATGATATTATAATACATCTTACATTTACATGTCAGAATTATAAATTATAATATTATTATTAGTATTAGATTGTTATATTCTCATTTATAAACATAATTATAAGTTTTTCTTTTATTTATTGATTATACCAAATAAATTATACATAAGCAATTTTTATTTGAAGGTAAATCTTATTATTTTTCAAAACATTGGTTTAGTCATCACTATAGTAAATAGTAGTTAGTAAATTAAAATATTTTATATTTTACATATTCTTAGATTAGAAAAAAATAAAATAGTAATACAATTAATTTATACAAAATAAATGTAAGTCATTTTCAGAAATCATACTTGTGAAAAATAAATAAATAAATTGTAGATGGCACAGTTTTTTTTTAATCATCAAAAAATTAAAAAATACTTATCTTCTAAAATAAATTATTCCTTTAACCGAAATTAGCAAAAAAAATTAGCTATGGAGTGGCTAAACATATTATAACATTAAATTTGCATAAAAGGTGATATCATTTCTATGTGGTACATTTTTATTTTTATTTTTATTTTTTTGAGCATCTATAGCATATCTTTAATAAATTCAACTTTGGTCACTTATTTAATATACAAATGTCATTCTTGGTATTTAAATCAAATATTTATATCTTTGTGGCATAACCACATTATTAAGTTTATTAAAAGCTTTTGATACATATTTTTTATGATCAAAGTGTTATTTTTCATATATTTCTAAATATTTTTATATCTAATTTAATTTGGATCAAAATCACTTCTATTCTATATAATATATTTTGAAGTTGAAATTTGTACAATTAAATAGTACAAACATCTTTACAATAATTTATTTGTAGAATACAATTCAATTTACTTTTCAGATTTCTTTTCCAATATATTTTACTTGAGTTGCTAACTTAATAAAGAAAAATACATAAAATTCATCTTAAATAGGATATGGCGGCTTTAATCAAGATTAATCTTTTTATAAAAAAATTGTAATTAAATGTACTTATACAATGTCTATTTTTTCTATTGCTTTGAAAATAGATTAAATAATTATTTTGTAAATTCAACTAATAATACCATCTAATCATATCTAATTGAGGTATTTTTGTAAAGAACTATAATAATAAATTTGATGCTATAGTGGTGCATTGTTAAAGTTCTCATTGAATAACTATTAAATCTAATAAAATATTTAATATAAAATATAATGAATATTTAAATAATACTAAGCATACACATAATATATAAAATTTAAAAATTTAAAAATAAATAAATTTAAAAATATATTAAATATAATTATATTTTAAAATTAATAATAGATTTAATTTTTAATAGCAGATTTATTTTAGAAGTAATTATTGTCAAATAATACATAATTAATTTAGCATCTTATTACGATTTTAATATCTAATTATCTAATTATCTACATCTTTGAGTTTCAAAATCATAAATATCATATGTAAATATATTAGAATTTTTAAGTTTTACACATACTAGCTTATTTAAACCTCTTTCAATTATTAGTGGCAATTTTGTAAAATCTAAAATCCAATTTGTAAAGATGATTTTTATTTTTGCAAAGAACTATGATAATAAATTTGTAGTTTTATAATTTTTTTTATACATTTTCCATAAATGTTGATAAATTATTTAAAATTCATTGCTTTAATTAAAAGATAAATTTTGTAAAAGTTAATTATTTATGTCAAAATAGTAAAACTCACATAAATACTTATTTTTTAAATACATTTAGTTAAAATTTGTACTCATTAATATAATATTACATAATAAAATGTTCAAACTTAAATAAAACTATTTTTAAAATAAAGTAAAAAGCCATCATCTTACAATTTATATCTATTAAATAATTAAATCCATGTATATATATATATATATATATATATTTATAGTATTTAAAATTAAGTAAGATTATTAATAGATGAAACTAGTAATTTCAAAAATAAAAAATAAAATCCATAAAATTAGTATTTTACTTAAATAAATTCGAGTTATTTTATGTCTAGGAAATGACAGTGGCATTCAGTTCTTAAAATATAGATTAAATATAGTCAAGTACTTAAAATATCATAATCTAAACAAAGAAAAGTAGAAATTCATTTGTAAATGAATTTTTAACATTGAAAAACTTCTAAGTAAGGAATTTGAAATAAATATATAAATAAATAAATAAATTGAAAACCAAGTTAGCATAGAATTGCCACAAACAACCCTTTTCATATTGTGCAATCCACTATTCAGCTGTAAATTCATATATTCGTCACTTCACCAATCCATCCATCCATCCATCCATTATCTAATTATATTCTCCCTTCCTTCTGTGCACTGGATAGAGAATCGGCCCTGTCTCCAAATCCGGAAGGGGGGGGGGGGAACTTCGACACGAATGGGTAGCAATTTACAGTGTGGCACTCCAAGTACCGACCCTCCTATTTTGCGACAGTCACTCGATGGTCAGTACAGTTGTACTCCGTATATTATTTCGCATTCGACAGAATATACAGTGGCCATATATATACCTGCACCAAATCGCGGAGACCAGCCCAGTTTTATCCAACGCTTAGGTGGCACAGTGCGTCCGCATTGGAAAGCGTAGACTTTGATTGGTGTGGAGAATCTTCTCATTTTGTTGATACTGCTGTAACTCTATTTTTTAAGTTTGATTTCCTTGAAATTTTCTTACCAAATTCCACATGATGTGCTCTTTGCAGCACAACAATGATTTAATTACTATATCAGATGCACTTGTATCATTTTTAACAAGATTTAGATGGTTTTGAGAAGATATAGAATGAATTTAAGTAATATTGTTTGGAATCTATGATGATAATGCTAAAAGTGCACCATGGTTGGATAAATTAATGGAGTTTTTGTATTGACAAAAGAAGTTGAGAGGTAACAATTTTAAGAGTCTTTGATTGGTTGAATTTGAGATGTCTCCTTTGATTGATAAAAAAAGAGGTGTAATATATATATATATATATATATATAGGCTCAAGCTATAAGCACACCCCAAATTATTGTATGCACATCCACAATGTCTATACATATGTCCAAGGTTTCTAATTGGCTTATCTAGATCCCTTTTCTATTGTTCCAATGTAGGTCATAGCCTCCCTCTTTTTCTTCCTTGTTCTAGTGTAGGTCCTCTTGTCTTCTTCCTTGCCTTGATACAAGTCTTGCTAATTCTTTTCTTTTGCTTTGCATAGATTTTGGTTTTTTGGTTTTTGGTTTTTGGTTTTGGTTTTGGTTTTTTTTTTTTTTTTTCTTGCCTCGTCATAGATTCTAGCACCTCTTTTTTTCTTCCTTGCCTTGATAAAGAGTCAAAAAATTGAGGTACATTGTTAATATTGTACCAATCTATATGCCACATTATTAGTTTATACTACAAGCTATCAATATGTGTGATATGTGGCTAACTTATTGGCCAAGTTTTTAACCTATCAATTAAATATATATATATATATATATATATATATATATATATATATAAAAGAGAAATTATATCTATGAAGCTTCTAAGAAGCTATTCTATAAAATATTGTCAAATTAATTTATTTTTATTTACTTCTACTTATTAATATTATCTAGATAATTATTTGTATATCTATGATATTATCCCTCCTTCTAAGAACAAGTTCCATAAG